TCCCACTTTACCAATGTTAAAATCTGGTCACCCTACTCAAGTGCCAGCAGCATGGCTTGTTTCTTTCCTCTACCTTGCTCCACCTCCCTCTTGGACTTATGGTTAGGCTAAGGTGAGGGTGGGAGGGAGGAGGGATAAGAAGCTGAAAAGATTTTTCTTGGCTGGTCAAATCTCAGCTCATGATCTGGCATGTGTGCCCTCCCGGAGGCAGCTATCCAAAGCTGACTCTTTTCTGGGGCATTTGGGTGGGTTCCTTGCTTTCCCTTGCTGGCCGGCTCCCATTTGCATAGCTGCCTGCTGACATTTCCCTCTCTCTCCACTCCTCCACCCCTACTTGTCTTAGTCTGTTTAAGTTGCTCTAATGAAATGTCATAGGCTGGGCCTGATGGCTCATGCACTTTGGGAGTCTGAGGCAGGAGCATCACCTGAGGTCAAGGAGTTCAAGACCAGCCCAGACAACATAGCAGGACCCCATCTCTACAAAAAGTTAGCCAGGTGTAGTAGTGTGTACCTGTAGTCTCAGCTGCTTCTAAGGCTGAGCCAGGAGAATCCTGGAGAAAATATAGTTTCTCCTTCTCATGGTTTCCTCCCTCCCTTCCTTCCTTCCTTTCTTTCCTTTCGTTCCAAGAGAGTCTCACTATGTCATCCGCAGTTCAGTGCTGTGGTGTCACAGCTCACAACAATCTCAAACTTCTGGGCTTAAGTGATTCTCTTGCCTCAGCCTCCCAAATAGCTGGGACTACAGGCACCCACCACAATGCCCAGCTATTTTTGTTGTTGTTGTTGTTGTTGACATTGTTGTTTAGCAGGCCTGGGCTGGATTCTAACCCACCAGCCCCGGCGTATGTGGCTGGCGCCCTACCCACTGAGCTATGGGTGCTGAGCCCACCACATGGTTTTCTTAACATTGTCCTTTCTCTAGCTTACTTTGCTGTAAGGATAGAGTAAATAATACGTATAATATATATGTATTAATCAACTATGAATATCATTGGTAAGCCTTCTGGTCAACAGCAACTATTAGTAGTTAAGTTTTAGGGAAGTCAAAAGTAGCCAGACAAGGTGACATGTGCCCATAACCCCAGCTACTTAGGAGGCTGATCCTTGGGAGGATCCCTTGAGTCTAGGACAGCAGTTCTCCACCTGTGGGTTGCTACATGATCTGACCCTGATAAGGGCTGCAGCATTAGAAAGATTGAGAACCACTGGTCTAGGAGGTCTAGACCAGCATGAGAAACATAGTGAGATCCTATCTCAAAAAAAGGGTTACATGCAGATTTTTGAATGTGCAGAGGTCAGTACCACTAACCCCTGTGTTGTTACTGTGTTATATTTAGCTCATAGAAAATCTAAGCCCCTGTTCCCCAAAAGCATAATGACCTCTAACCTTACCCTCTTTTCTCTGTGGCCATAGATAGCTGTGGTCCCAGCCACTCAACCTTTGATATTTCCAGTTGTTATGGGCTTAATTGTGTCCCCCCACCAAGAGATGTATTGAGGTCCTAACTCCCAGTACCCCAATATGTGAACATGTGAACTGGGATCTTATAGGGTGCAGATGTAACTAATTAAGCTCAGATCTAGTCACAGTAGAGCGGGGTGGGGGGGGGTGTTCTTAATCCAGCATGAATGATGTCCTTATAAGAAGACAGACACACAGAAGAAAATGCCATGTGACAGCAGAGACAGAGATGGGAGTGATGTAGCCGTATGGAAGAATACCAAGAATTGCTGGCAAGCACCAGAAACTAGGAAGGGAAAAATTTCCTCCTAGAGATTTTTGAGAGAGCATAACTCTGCTGACACCTTGATTTCCAACTTCTGACCTCTTGAATAGGAGATAATGAATTTGTTATTTTAACCCACCCGGTTTGTGGTACTCTTGTGACAGCCTTAGGAAACTAACACACCAGGTACATGGTCTGATTCTCTGGGTAGTTTCTCTTAAAGTGCCTCTTAAAGCTAGGAGGTGGGGAGGGGGAAGGAAATGCTAAGTGCTATCATAGCTCTGTGCTTAAAAGGGCCTCATGCGCCTTAAACAGTGCTTGGCTTTTTCTTAGGTAGATGAACATGTTGTACAGAGATGGGCGTCTGGCATCTACTGATTTTTTCTCAGACCTTTTATGGCATTGGAAAAAACTGAGACAACAGAAAAATTCATATTTTCACCTCTTGTTATATATGTATGTCCTTCAACTTAACAATTTCACTGCTAGTTATGATCCTACAAAAGTATCATAGCTATGCACACAAATGCATTCACATGACATGGATATGCATTGAAACCCTATTTATAATGGTGAAAAAAGTATAAACCAGCCTGATGTCTTCATAGCAGAATGATTACATGGATGGGTCTATCCATACTATGGAACACTATGAAAAAGAAGACTGACATTAAAATACTTGAAATACATACTGTAGAGTTTTAATAAGCTACACAGTATAAGTCCATTTATGCAAAAAGAACACTGTACATTTTATTTGTTTGTACAAATATTAAATAAATATATAGGAAAAGAATCCTGCAAGGAGTTTCAGAAAATTCAAGACACTAGCTGCCTCTCAGAGAAGTAAAATGTTCTTCTGAGCTGTTCAATTTTATGTATTCCAACAGAAATCTTTTCATGTATTATTTTATAATTGTACTATAATTTTAAAATTGAAAGTGTAGTGAGTATTTAAGTGAGGCTGGAGAAATGGGTTTTGATTTTCTAATGGCCTTTCCATTTTATGTTGACTTAGATTTTGTTAGCCTCCCAATGGCGACCCCAGTAGATACTGGTACACCTTCAGGGGCTGCTGCCACGTCTATAAAACTGCCACACAGCAATTAGGTGCCTCTGCCCCAGTGGTGTTTGGGTACAGTGATTCTTCACTATTATTGGTGATTCCTCACTATTATTATTTTGCTTATTAAAGAGGTACATGATGCGGCTGAAGTGAATGGAATTAAGGGGGGGAGAAATGTCTCCTCTGAATCCCAATTTGGTATCTTCAGGGACCTGGCCTGAGGCTGAGTCCCAGTCACTGGGACACATTGACCTCTGAGGCTGTAAATTCTTCACTAAAAGTCTCCTTCATTTTCAAAATGCCATTTTCAAATGTATAGTGAGTGACTTGCCTTGCAAGTGCATGGGGAGGAGGTGACCCTACTTCTCCGACTTTCACCCATCAGATCGTGAATTTGATCTTACTACTACTGTCTAAAGCCATTCTTCTGGAAGAAATTTCATTTTATCTTAAAAATAGATTTTGTCCCTTTCCCTACCAACCACCTCCTCATCTGCAGGGATGCTTTGCCTGAATTAGACTATATTGGTTCCCCAGAAATGATCACAAAAAGTAAGAAAAAGAACATCTATGGCTAAAAACCTAGGTTTTTCTTTCTATATTTTAAATATGAAGTTAATCATAACGTAAAAGTGAGAAATGAAGATCCATTATACTATGTGTATATGGATTTAGTCATACTGATGTTCAGATCATTGTTGAAAACAAAAAGCCTCTATATACATCGAAACCCCCTAGAATAAATGCTCTCGCTTACCCACCCATGCCACAGGCGAGCAGTGTAAAGAGCTGCTCTGGGATCGCCTCATTCCTGTTTAATGATGTTTAATACATTCCACATCCCAATTCCCTGACAAACTTGCACCAGACAAAAAGCAGGAAGCAGGAGGAAAGTTAAAGCTTTTGTTTATTTTTTTAGTGCTGAGGAAGATACCTGTCTTAATCCACTGCTTATTTTTATCCCAAAATATTTTGGGAAACTGCCTAACCAGATGGTGGGCACGGGGAGGGGGAAGCATGGCCAGCAGGCAGCATGGATCTCAGAGAATGTGGCCTTGGGGAGGGAACCCAGAGGGCAACTTTCAGAGACAGCCTGTGCGATTCATGTATCACAGTCTCACTGGTGACTGCCAAATCCGTGACTTCAGCAGGAACATGGGAGAGTGAAGTTGTAAGGTGCACAAGTAACACATCACCTTAGAGCCTGAAGCTTTAAGTTACCTATTTTTACTGTCTCTGGTATATTAATAAACACATGTACACACACATACCAAGTTGCTTGGTATACCTGCTCATATATCTTGTCTATGTTGGTTTGTATTAAATGTGATTACTCATCCATCCAACATGCGTAGCATTCCATATGTTAAAATAATAAAGACCTTCAAACAGCTTACAATCCAGTATCATCAAAAATTTCATCAATAAATTATAATCAATATTATATTCAAATAATTTCTTGAGTTATCCCTTGCTTATCCCATCTTCTATCAAAAAACAAGAACAGTTGCTTATAATGTTCAATAAGGCTGGTATTAAGGCACAATTAAATATTCAAAGTGAGTTCTAAGTTTTTATAACATTTGGTGTGCAATATTAAAATATAATTAATTGGCCCAGACAATATGAAAATTTGTGATTTTTGTTAAATATTGTTTTTTTAAGTCTCTCTCTCTCTCAAATTTATCCCTAGCTGCTTACAAAGGATTTGAGAAAAATTACAATTTAAAATATGTACATACATATACGCAAACAAGACTATCAAAAACAATTCAGTTGGCCGGGTACAGTGGCTCACTCCTGTAATCCTAGCACTCTGGGAGGCTGAGGCAGGTGAATTGCCCGAGCTCAGGAGTTCAAGACCAGCCTGAGTAAGAGTGAGATTCTGTCTCCAAAAAAATAGCCAGGAGTCGTGATATGTGCCTGTAGTCTCAGCTACTTGGAAGGCTGAAGCAACAGGATCATTTGAGCCCAAGAGTTTGAGGTTGCTGTGAGCTATGAGGCCCTGGTACTTCACCAAGGGCAATAAAATGAGACTTTGTCTCAAAAAAAAAAAAAATTCAGTTGAGGCCCCCCAAAAATATTTTTAAGGGTTGTTACTAAGTAACTGAATAGAATAAACTAATTCAGATGAATATCAAATTCAGCTTTAGCAGTCTGATGCCAGGAGCATGCCCACGTATACCTTTCCTGTTGTCGGAGTGTGCTTGTGACAGCTTGCTCTGGATCTCAGCATGTGGTCACTGAGCTAACTGAACTGCTAAGGGCAGTGTCAGCCCTGTTCTTGATGTAGTTGGAGTGCTTTTGAGGCCTCTCAATATCAATCTAACCATCAAGTCATTATACCAGTTAGATTGCCAAGCTATGGTCCCTTGTGCTAATTCTTGGTACTTTGAGGTGTCTGCTTACTACTGTGCTACAGGAGGGTCTATTAGTGGTTAAGCCTGAGATAAAAAGGAGGTGGACTTTCACCCATCAGGTTTCGATCTAGTTTCTATGCAAGGTCAGCATGCGTCTCTCTGAGGTTCAGCTTGTCTTCCCGCATGAGGATTACGACAGCTGTCTAATTTCCTAATGTGCTCAGATGGGTTGCAGAGCTACTCAAGGTGTGATGATGTAGTTTTGCTGACTCTTTTCTTTATTCCTTTTTTTTTTCTTTTGTTCCTTAACTGTAAGAGTGTTGTGAAGGAAGCAGTCTATTAAATTACACTCTGGAGTACGTGTCTTGTTTCATTGCAGATAGGCAATTCGGTTACAGGCCAGTTGAAGTCAATGTGAACCAGTGACTGTGGTATAAGTGTAGGGTCCAGTTAAGATATTTTCAGATAAGAATAATTGTACAAACTTAATTAAATCTGGCTTAATATAAGTGAGATTGGACATATGGAATCCCATACCACCACATGTCCTCTGCCCCACATACAAAAATTAGTCTTTGCCCCTTCTTGGACACTGATAAAGCATGTCGTTATTTCAGGTGGAATGTTACAGCTCCAAGGTGTGGGCCTTGACGATAAGGCCAACATTCACCTGATTCCTTTTCTGGGGAGCTTCAAAATGTACATCTCTGATTAAGTATGCAATGAAAGTGAAAATGAGAATCACAATAGTAATAATTGTGCAGCAAATTACCATTAGTTTGAGAATCATGCACAAATAACCAACTGTGTTTGTGTAGTACAACCATGCCTTGCTTGTTTGTTCATTCATTTTTTTATTTACAATACATCTGTCAGATGTTTAGGACCCGGCTAAGATCTAAATGTTGCTCAGTCATATTATTGGAATGGAAGAATGACAAAACTAAACAGGAATCATTAGGTGGCATACATATTTATCAAATCAATTTACTCATTCAACGTGTGGAATGATATGCATGTTGGATGGATGAGTAAATCATCCAAATCATATTTATCAAAACATTACTCTTGCTATGCAAAAATGGGAAGGAATATTGAATTGTATTAATGCTTTTTCTATTACTAGGTAAGGATCCTGAACTCTCTGGCTTAGAAAGAGTTTTAGCAAGACATGATTTTCCAGCAGAGATTAACCTGACCCCAAAGCCAAGCAGAATGGTCACACAGAAGAGAACAGCCACCAACATTTTAAGTGACAGGTACAAATGCCCCCAGTGGAAGAGAAGCACGAAAGACCCTCCAATGGCCACCATTGTTGTCAGGTAGGCTCTGTCTAATTTCTGCCCTAGGTGGACATGTTTAGAGATATACAGGGTGATCTCAAGATACACATTAAGGGTGAAAACAAGCATTGCTCTCTATAAAAAGTAGGCATGCCCCAGGTTCACACATCCCAGAGCTGCTGGGGAAGCCCTCATGAGAGTAAACTTATGGAGAAGGGAGCAGGTGTGTGAGTCCCTCATGGGCCGTTGCCATCTAGATGAGTGAGCGGGAATCTAGCAGGGCTGGAGCTGTGGGAATTTTTGGCTGTGTGAACCAGGAAGCACCAGCTCCACCATTAATTAGCATGACCAGGGGCTAGGATACAATAAAATGGCATGACAGGACCTTGTCTTTATCCTGGTCTGCCAGATGTTGCACTGAGAGATACTGGAAGCCATTGCAGGCTCTTGACAAGAGGGGCGATATGAGCAGATTTCAATCCTCTCTGGCTGCCAGGGGAGCCAGGGCAGAAGCTCCCTGCTGGGAGCTTTTACAGTTATGCCTGTGAGGGATGGTGGCCTCAGACCAGGTGGTAACAGTGGGAGTATGGAACTGGTTGGATTCTGGTGCTCACAATCTGAAACTGTAGTTGCCTGGCATATTATCTTTTTTGGTGCACTTCCTTTCCTGCTGTGCAAGATAGATCTATGTCTGTTTCTTTAGTATTGTTACATGTATTGCTTTTCAATGTAGTGATGCCTACATGTTGCACATAGTAGGTATTCAATAAGTGTCATTGCCTGGATGACAGGAGAAGAGTATACCTTGTTCTTAAGACAAGAGTTCTTTCTGATTTGAAGGTAAGAGATACAGGGAGACAGCTCTAGCTCACAAACTTGCCTGTACTGGAAGCTTCCACTGAGGTTGCTGGCCTAAGTGTCTTATCTACTTTTGCTTTTCAGTGTCCTTAGTGGCATAATTTTTCTTCTCCTTCTTCTTCTTTTTCTTCATCCTCCCCCTCCTCTTCTTCTTCCACTTCTTCTTCTTCATTTCTTTCTGCAAGCCTTCATTTGCTTTCCTTAAATGCAGGGGCTATCTTATTTATTTTTCTATTTTGAGTAATATAAAAATTATATTGGGGTCTTTGGGAAGCAAGTGCTGAGACAGAATTGAGAATGTAAAAGGTTTCCTGGGTGTAGTGTAGCATCCATGTGGCATGGAGGAAGCCCTATTGAGCAGGAGTTGACGAGATGGCCTCAGTGGGTAGAGTACCAAAGTCACGTTGCACAGGGCGTGGATGTGCAACGTGGGAGGCTTGGGGCCATTTTTCAATCAATCATGAACCTTTCTTGGTTGCTGTGATTACAGTTTCCAGAAGGAACTGCTGGATTAATTGGTCTGATCTGATGATGCTCCCTGGCATCAGTGATTCTTGCCCTATCACCAGGTAACATGGTGAATGCAGTCACATGATAACTGTATCATTCTTCTTTTTTATTAAATTTCAAAATATTATGGGGGTATAAGTGATTTTGGGTACATTATCAAATTTGTCATGCTTGAGCCAAGGTTATAAGTGTGCCCATCACCCATAAAAATGTTCATTGTACCCATTAGGTAGGTTTTTGCCCATCCCTTCTTACCTCCTCTCTCTGGCCTGATTTCCACTGAGTTTTATGTTCCTCTGTGCCCGTGTGCTCATTGGTTAGTTACGATTTAATAGTGAGTACATGTGGCGTTTGTTTTTCCATTCTTTAGATACTTCATTTAGGATAATGGTCTCCAGTTCCACCTAAATTACTGCAGAAGGCCTTAAATTGTCCATTTTCAGGCAAAGTGTTATTCCATAGTATACATATTCTACATTTTGTCAATCCACTCATGAATTGATGGCACGTGCTTTTATTCAACATCTTTGCAGTTGTAAATTGTACTGCAATAAACATTTGAGTGCATGTGTTTTTTAATAAAATGACTTCTTTTCCTTTGGGTAAATACCCAGTAGTGGGATTGCTGGATCAAATGGTGGGTCTACTTTTAGTTCTTTGAAGACTCTCCTTACTGTTTTCTATAGAAGTTGTACTAATCTTCAGTGTATAAGTATCACTGTCTCCCTGACAGTGTATAAGTATTCCTTTCTCTCTGCATCTATTGTTTTTGGACTTTTTAATAAAAGTCATTCTTTTTTTTTTAGAAACAGAGTCTCACTTTGTCACCCTCAGTAGAGTACCGTGGTGAATAAAAGTCATTCTAACTGGAGTCGGGTGACATCTCAGTCTGATTTTAATTTGCATTTCCTGGTAATTAGTAATGTTGAGCATTTTTTCACATGTCTTTTGGCCCTTTGTCTTCTTTTGAAAGGCTTCTGTTCATGTCTTTTAAATAGGGTTGTTTGTTTTTCCTTGCTGATTTGCTTCAGTTCTTTGTTGATTCTGGTTATTGGCCCTTTATTGGATATATAAATGTGAATATTTTCTCCCGTTCTATAGATTGTTTGCTCTGTCTATTATTTCCTTAGCTGTGCAGAGGCTTTTTTTAAAATTAGTTAATTAATTTATTTTTTTGAAGTTTTTGGCCATGGCTGGGTTTGAACCCGCCACCTCCAGCATATGGGGCCAGTGCCCTACACTTTTGAGTCACAGGTGCCGCCCATTCAGAAGCTTTTTAATATAATCAAGTCCCATTTATTTATTTTTGTTGTTGCTGTAATTGCCATTGGGGTCTTCTTCATAAATTCCTTGCCTAAGGTAATATCTAGAAGAGTTTTCCCCATGTTTTCTTCTAGAATTCTTATGGCTTCATGCCTAACATTTAAGTCTTTCATCCATCTTTATTAAGTTTTATAAGTGGTGAGAGATAGGGATCCTGTTTAATTTTTCTGCTTGTGGCTAGCCAGTTTTCCTAGAGCCATTTATTAAATAGGACTTCTTTTCCCCAGTGTATGTCATTGTTTGCTTTGTCAAAGAAGAGTTGGATATATATGGATGCTTTTATATCTGGATTTTCTGTTTGTTTTTTTTTTATTGTTCTTTGTCTCTATTTTTGTGCAACTATCTCTTGAATCCTTTGCGATTTTAACGGCAGTCTTGAAAGAATCCATTCTTTAGCCAAGGCAAACCTGGGTATTTTTATTTATTTATTTATTTATTTGAGACAGAGCCTTAAGCTGTCACCCTGGGTAGAGTGCTGTAGCATCACATCTCACAGCAACCTCCAACTTCTGGGCTTAAGCGATTCTCTTGCCTCAGCCTCCCAAGTACCTTGGACTACAGGCACCCACCACAATGCCCGGCTATTTTTTGGTTGTAGTTGTCATTGTTGTTTGGCAGGACCAGGCTGAATTCAAACTCGCCAGCTCTGGTGTATGTGACTGGCGCCTTATCCACTTGAACTATAGGCATCGAACCAAACCTGGTTATTTTTGAGGAATATTATCAATGATAACTTTGTTCTAAAAGTTAGAATTACCATAGGACCCAGAAAATTCACTACTGTCTTCTTATCCAAGGGAAAGGAAATCAATGTGTTGAACATACACCCCCACATTGATTGCAGCAATACTCACAATAGCCAAGATATGGAATCAATATAAGTGTCCATCAACAGATGAGTGGATAAAGAAAATGTAGCATATATAGGTATACACAATGGAATACTTTTCAGCTATGAAAAAGAATGAAATCCTGTCATTTGAGGCAACATGGATAAACCTAGAGGATATTATGTTCAGTGAAATAAGCTAGATACAAAAAAGGTAAATACCACATGTACTCACTCGTGAAAGTTAAAAAAGTTCATCTCAGGGAAGTAGAGACTAGAATCGTGGTTACTAGTGGCCGGTAAGAGTAAGGAGTAGGGGGGCATAGCCAGAGGTTGGTTAACTTAACAGGTATAAAAGTACAGCTGGATAAGAGAAGTAAGTTCTAGTTTTCAATAGCACTATAGGGTGATTATAGTCAACAATAATTTATCATATATTTTCAAGTAATTATGAGTTTTGAATTTTCCAGCACAAAGGAATGACAACTGTTTGAGGTGATAGATATGCTAATTACCCTGATTCGATCATTACATTGTATACATATATCAAAAAATCACAGTGTACGCTGTGAATATGTACAATCATTATGTGTCAATTTTCTTAAAGCATAGATTTGTCTTTGTCTCTGTGATCTACTGATAACTCTGCTGATCAATGTCCTTGGGCGTTTGCCTTTGGGCTGCTAATACTTCATATTGTATCAGGTAGACTCATGATACTGATGGAAAGATGTCTGTGAAATTGAGTTTGGTAAGTATGAAGTATATTCAGGTGCATTGTACAGTTTTCTCACATATTAAGTTGAGCCAACTATAGGTATAATCTTGAACTTGGCCTGGTTAGCATCTGCTCGATTTATGCTGCATGTTCCTACTAGCACAGAGAGGGTAAGGCTGTTCTCTCATGTAGAAATAATGGTTTTAGGGCCACCAAACAGGCAGCTCATACCTGATGTCTGCTGGCTTTGAAAAAGTTCCTTTGATACTCCGCCATGTAAATAAAGCAGCAGGCACAAAACCCAGGAGTCCTGGGACCACGCTGCTAAACATATTTTCTGAGTCTAGAGCTGCAGATGGTGGCATCTTATCCCTGTTGGAGAACTTGGCAGGACCCCAAGTTTTATAATACTGTAAATCCCTACTGAATATTTTGTGTAAATTTTAATTATTTGTAAACTGTATTTATTGGCTCAATATGTCATATTCATATGGGCTCCAGGGCTTATTATTTTTTTTTCTTGTAAAAATTGTGACAAAAGCAGGACTTGAGGGGAGGGCTTTATATGCTATATAGGAACTTCAGTTCAGATTCCAAAATGTTTTTATTGCATCAGCATGGTAGTAACTGAAGACAGGGGCTCGTGATCAATAGGTTTTATTCTGCCCTCCTTTCTGCCATAGACGTTTGCAGTTAAGCCTGACTTGGGGCCAGTTCCCAAGAGGGGAGTTTCTTTATCACCCCTTCTCTATAGTACCATCCATCTATTATTGTACTTACTGTGCTTAAGTGTAAGTACAT